ATTTTGCTCAAACATTTTAACCGTGTAGAGATTTGAAGCCATATATTTTGCGAATAATTGCTCTGGTCAATCTTCCTTATAGCAAATTAAAACTTGATTTCGTAGTTTGCAGGAAAATTGTTCAGTAAATACACCATTCCTCAAGTTATACGGAGTATATACATCTCAGTTAATTCGACACGCAAGAACATGCTCTACGTATGAACAATTTCTAAAAAGAGGTAAACTATTGACAAGCAAGTTGATGAAACAAGAATATCAGCAGTCTCGTTTAAAGTCATCATTTCGTAAGTTCTTGTCAGCAAATACAACTCATCATTAAGCCAAATGCTGACTGATGTTTTTCATACTAATGTTATTCCATTTTTTACACTGAATTGATAACGGATGTTCCCGTTAGTTCCTGATCATGACAAAGAGCACAGGGCAGGTGTCACCGGTCGGCAGGGGATGCTCACTCCTCCATGGCACCTGATCCTACCTCTGATGTTTCGGGGGTCCGTGTTTGCTCTGCTCTTATTTTGTATTGTTTTATGGACTTTGAGATTGAATACTGTTCATTATCTCCATATCCTTCTTTTTGGAATAAAAAAAAATCGACTTTTCCCAAACTCCGAAACATCTTCCTATTTCATAGTACAAAACTTGCGCATTGTTTTCTTAAACATTAAAATTTGCAGGCAAACAATTTAAGTTTACCTGATGCTGTACATTATGTTAATTGCAGGAGTGATCGACCACGAGGAGATGTTAATTTGAAGTTATATCCAAAGAATGCTGTGTTTTTGAAGTTGAAATTTTACTTTTATTGTAGACATGCGGCGTTGGTTTACAAAGAAATGTCAAATAAATCAGAAGATACCTTTATGGTACATGCTACTCAGTGTAGAGGTACAGAGGAAACATTAACTGATTGTGAACAAATTATTGCTTCGAAAGACTGCAACAGTACTGGTAGCGTGGAAGTGGAATGTAACCCGGATGTAAGAAGTATGTGAATTTTAATGCATTCGTTTCAAGAAAGACACAAGTCATATGTTAGATATTCATTCATATTGAAACAAATTGTTGTTGAAGATAAACGACAATACAGTTGTTGATATCGTAAAGGAATCTACCATTAATGAACTGTTCAAACATTTTTTAATAGAGTCCCAAACTTTTGATGAGCATGGAATTCAAAATACCTGCAAAACTTACCCATTTTTAAGTTTTTCTGAGAACACTAAACATAACTTTGGAGAATGAATTACTTGGCGAAAGGATATGGTCCCGGTTATCAACAAAGTGCTATCTACAAAGTTTTACGCTGCAATTCTGCATTTATGAATTTCTTGTATGGAGATTAATATAGTTTATCTTGCAAGTCCGGTGCTGAAATTTGCCAGCATAATTGAGAGATGGAATTATTCATATTTACATTATGTTGTCTTTGATGCCCGATCAAATAGACAAGATTAGTGCAATATCTTGATGTTTGGGATCGAGTGTTCATATTTACACGATTGTTGATTCCTATAGAGATCCTGTTTGATTACTTATAGTCACTGCATGAATCCAAGAAAGTGCACTTTACTGGTGAAATTAATAGTTTGCTATCTTACATTAAAGGGGAATGGTTTCGGATTTACACTGTTAGTTGGTCTGATGAAAAAGTTTATGTCAAATTTCATCACTTATATGTAAAAAGAAAGCATTTTGGAAAGGGCACGACCGAAAAATAAGTTCCTAGACTTAAAAAAAACACAAAAAAAACAAGTCATCAAACATTGAGGTTTCTTTTCTTTTGTTCTTTAATTGAGTAGTGAAATCGTCCTACTCCCCAGTTACCTGTACTTTAGTGTAGTTTACTCCACAATATCGTAAAGGAATTTTCCTATTACAATATTTAATACTCATTGTATTAAATTTCTATTTCAATTCTTGGTTTCAAATTTGACTTTATGCTATTTTATGTCACATTAAAAAAAAAATTCACTCATATACAGACGTCTCTATATATCGGTTCACTTATAGACTTTTTTAATTTTTGTTGGCAATGCAAAAAATATCAATTGATCTCTTTGTGACTGCATATCTTTTGAAAATGACGTAATTTTATCTCAAGACAATTATAATGACGTCATGAATTGTCATGAATTGTGTCATTTTTCACTATTTTGAAAATTTCTTCTAAAGTGTACACAAAACTAAGCTGTTTTTTCTCGATATTTCGTATACAGCACAACTCCTGATCCTAAATGTCCACCTAAAAAAACAACTTCTGAAAATTATAAATCATATTTTATTTCTTGGATCGAGGGGTGTGCTCATATTTAAATTCTTTGCAAAATGTACTCAAACAAACCTATTTTATGCACAATTCAAGAAAATTGCATTGTCACAGCCTGTTCTTTCATATATAGACTCAGAGAGGAAACTTTGTCATAGTCTCCACTAAATTTTGATGTTGGAAATCTGATTGGTTTTAGTCAATTATTGGTATAATAACAGGCCATTTAATGCAAAAGTGCACCTACCTTTTAAGACCTTTGCTCGGCACTCAGGGCCATTGAGCAATGAAGGATCTTTTTATAATGAACACGCCTAATAGGGGCCTCTGTTTTTAAGGTCCCTAAGGAAAGACCCGCAACTTTTACTTTGAAGTGCTGAACGCTTGGCGAAGGAACAATTGCTACGTATTTGCTTTTCGGTTTGTTGCGGCCGGTGATTGAAGCCACGACACTCCGATCACAGAGTGAACATATTATGGCTACCGTAATGGTTTTTCACCTTTGCAAATAGCAATATAAAAACGTGTGTTTGATATGACTGTTGTCAGATCTCCAAAAATCCAATCCAGTTTTTTTTTCAACATGCCCCCATAAGAAAAAACACTAGATATTAAATGTTCCAGTTTTCCATTGAACATTTTTTAAAATTCCCTTATTTTCCACCAACCCCCCCCCCCCCTCCCAAGGAGGCAATTTTTTTTTTTATCTTTCTTCAATTTTTTTTTATTGCCCCAGCAGTATATTATTAAATTAATGGCGCCAAGGTTGGGGAGCTCTGGATTCACCAAACTAACAAACAGGGATTTAACGACATTGTACTGCATAGTACATATACATAGAATATATAAAATTTATGAAATTTTTTTTATCTTGGCTTTTTAGGCAATTAGTAAAATTGATGTTATTTTACTGAATGCTAATTGCAAAATAATTTTACAATGGAAATACCATTTGTACATTGACACCATATTGTTATATGTCAAAAACACATCATTGCTTGAAAACTACAAATAACAAAATATTATAAATGTGCAAATTTATTCCTTCCGGTAAGCGGCAGAGAACCAATTTGCAAAATATTCAAATTCAAATGAAGCAAATTGCTAATAATTTTGAAAAAAATTATATATACATATATGTAAACTTTTTTTTCTTCTGCATTGCGTCGGATCATGCAATTGTTGAATCATGGGAAAAGAAAGTACACTATTTGTAGAAATGATTTATACAGAATTTCCGGCAAAAATTCCGAAATAAAGACAGATTTATGATTTCTGCTTAAATAAAAGATTTTATTGCTAAATCAGTAAGTCTTATTATTTCTAAACAGAATCACGATTTAATAAAACTAAGGTCGAGATAATTCCCGAGAGCATAGATAGCAAGATACGGTGTCTGAATTCATACAGAACTTCTAAATAAAACCAGGAATTCCTGTCAAAATACCACTCTTAAAAAAGCTTTATCTTCATGCATACAAGTATCAACATACCGTACCATTGTTACGATTGACTATATATGTTATCAGTTATGTATATTACAGTAATAAAAGTGTGTTGAAAACAGTCATAATAGTCGTTTTAATTCTCATATTTCGTTTCTTATTCTACATAATGACAATAGCCAGTTCTAAAAAAAGTTATTTAAATCCATATGAAATTGCCTATAAACTTGCTTTTTTTTTGGTATTGAAATTAACAGATTTTATTTATTTTATCTTTATTTTAGTTTATATATATATTTGATAAATGCTTCAAGATTTGCAATTATAGGGTTCATCAGACTAGTGAATGGAACTTCAAGTAAAGAGGGCCGCCTAGAAGTGTTTATCAACGGGGAGTGGGGAACAGTGTGCCATTCAGGTTTTGGAAATCAGGAGGTAGCTGTTGTGTGTAAAAGTCTTGGCTATTCAGTGTAAGTATTTAATGTAAAACACAAATAAACTCCTCTGTATAATCTCTACATATACTAGACAATTAATGCTGGAGGTTAAGGCAAAATGTAATCAAAATTTCTTCGTGCAATGTTTTTGAGTCAAATTCAAAATATATATAAAAACTGCCTTGTCATATATATATATATATATATATATATATATATATATATATATATATATATATATATATATATATATATATATATATATATATATATATATATATATATATATATATATATATGCTGAAAGCGCTTACAGTAAAGATTTTATTTAATTCGGACTGCAGCATTCTGTTTTCATTCATTTAAGTATTTTTTACTGTAACAAGGATTTAACTAATCAACGTATATAAAGAAATATAAATATAAATATATATATAAAAAGCACTAAAAAACCAACAACACTGTATATCCTAAATGTCGGATCTACCAAGTAGATACAAGGTCACGGATGGAAATAACTATTTTTATATTTAACTATTTTCTTTGTCCTGAGGAAGGGACAGGGCGTCCCGAAAATTTGACAATTTTTATTGTTCGTGTCGTTGGTCATTTTAGTGCTTTATATATAAAATATATATATATAAAATATATATATATAAAATATATATATATATATATATATATATATATATATATATATATATATATATATATATATATATATATATATATATATATATATATATATATATATATATATATATATATATATAATTTCAAAACAAAATGAAGAATCGGTACAGTTTTTGGTATATTTAAAAGTAAAAATCCAAATATTATAAGGAAATGGTACTGAACGAACTTCAGAACTGTCGGTTTTATAGAAAGTTAACAACCAACCAAGATCGTCACACAATGCTCAAGGTTGAGAAATTAACTAAAAAATATGCCGACAATTTAACAAAAAATCAAATTGATTTCTTAACAAACTTTAAATTGAAATCCAGTAATTTCTACGGATTACCAAAAGTCCACAAATCTAAGGAGATCCAGGAAGCTGTGAAAAATTGTGATGACGCATATATAAAAATGTCCCAACCTGCTGACCTTAAAATACGTCCGATCATCGCTGGACCTGCATCAAGCACCCAACGACTGAGTAATTTATTGGACATTTTATTGAAACCACTATGCAAATTATTACCCAGCTTCGTAAGAGATGATATAGATTTTCTGAATTATATTCCCCAAAATGTAGACCCAAACACTATTCTCGTCAGTTTTGATGTTACACGTTTGTACACAAATATCCCACATATTTTGGGACTGGAAGCAGTTAGTTACTGGATAGACAAACATCCGGATATTATAAATGAACGATTCCCAAAGGAATTAATTTTAGAAGGACTGAAGATAGCGTTGGAAGATAACCATTTCCATTTTAACAATGAGTTCTACCTACAAATAAAAGGAACCGCCATGGGGACAAAAGTTGCTCCCTAATACGCAACTTTAGTGATGGGATATTTAGAAGATCAACTATATGGAAAAATACCTGAACTATTTGATGTCGACTTTGCTAGCTACATAAAAAATAATTGGAAACGTTACCTAGACGACTGCTTCATATTTTGGACCAGGAGTGAAGAAGACTTAACTAAATTCCATTCACTTCTAAATAACCTCCGTGATTCCATACAATTTACTATAGAAAAAAGTCGTACGGAACTTCCATTCTTAGATCTTCTTATTATAAAGAATGGATCGTGTATAACTACAGACTTGTACTGTAAATCCACGGACACGCACCAATATTTGGATTTTAGATCGTGCCACCCATCCCACACAAAACGTAATATTCCGTTTAATTTAGCACGAAGAATTTGTACAATTATTACAGATGAAACCCTACGATGTAGACGTTTGGAAAAATTAAAAATATATATAAGACGACAAAATTATCCATTGGATCTAATAAACATTGGAATAGAAAAGGCATCCGAAATTCCAATAGAGGACCTAAGAAATCCACGCCATATAGACGACACCGATGATGACGGGAAAATAGCCTTTGTAGTTACCCATAACCCAAGGAACAGAAACATCCTTATGGACGCTAAAAGATTTTATCCCATTTTAGAACAATCGGAAAACATGAAAAGTTTAGTTCAGCCAAATGATATCATAAACAGTCGACGACAAGCACCAAGTCTTAAAAAACTGTTGACCAAGGCCCGTTTTACTACACAGGAGGAAATTCCAACCATTAAAAAATGCGGAGATCCGAGATGCGGAACATGTACATATTTAGAAGAGGTGAATAAAATCCAACTTCAATCAGGAATGGAAATTCGAACCAACTCATCTATGAACTGTAAATCGGAAAACGTCATCTACTGGGCCATCTGTCCGACGTGTAAAGAATATTATATTGGACAAACGGGAAAATTAAATGCCAGGGTTCATGTGCACAAGCAACAAATTAAAGACCCTAGTGTGCGTAATACACCGTGTTGTGAACATTTCGCAAAATGTGGCAAAGGAATATTTAAGATTTTCCCTTTTTATAAACTTCCAAATGAAAACGAAAGTTTTAACAATTGACCTAATGGTCGAACGGTGGTTACTGACTCTCCTGCAGAGATCTCCTGTTTCACCAATATACTGTTTGGAGCAAACTTTGCAACTGATGATGTCAATATGACAAGACAAATTTCCTAGTATTTTGTGCCTGTGGCCTGTAACTGGGCTGTTAAAACTGTCTGTGTCAGTGCTTTGTTACAGTTAATTTGCGTCACCAACTCTCGAACAACCCACATAACTATATATTGCTTACGCCTTAGTTAATTAATTATTAATTATTTTTTACCGATAATTAGTCCTAAACATTTCAAATTAAAATTTATGATAGATCATAATTCATATGTTAAATTGCCCCTTCTATATTATTATTTTTATGCCCCTCTTCGAAGAAGGGAGGGCATATTGCTTTGCTGCTATCTGTTGGTCGGTCTGTCGGTCCACTTAGTTTCCGTTCATTTTCTTCACAACCGTTGCACATACTGAAATGAAATTTGGTATACAGATTTATCAGAAGAATATCTAGGCCAAGTTCTGTTTTGGATACAATCGTGTCATTTTTTACAGAGTTATGCCTTTTGGACTTAGAAAAATTCCAATTATAATCTATCCATTTGTCCTTAAGGAGATATGAGTGGACATGTATCCAGTTAAAGATAATTAATGAGCTTAGTGTGGGAAGTTGGGCATCTCTGATCATGTGTTATCTTTATCTCCTGAGAATTCGACAACAGAAGGAAAGATCTCTCTTCTCTCTAGAATTCTCTTAATTGCAATTTATTGCCTGTCAAAACATTTATTTACCAGCCTTTTTAAAAAAAAAAAAGAATGTGATAGTTAATAGTAATTTGTGTTATAGTGTATTTATTTATTTGTTTTTTTTAACAGTCAATTTACAGTGTCATGTCGCACAAAGATGACAAACAGTTCAAATTCATATTTTCAATGTAATAAAAACAATGTAATGAATTTAAAGTCAAGAAGAAAGAAAATGAAGAATGTTTCACTAGCTACAACAAATTCAATCTTGCATTCAAAAGAAATAGTTTTTACATGTCAATGCATGCACCCTATATTATTGTTCAAGATACATATAGGAACAATAAATAATTATAAAATTTTTGAGAGAAAAACCATGATTCCCAAAAGGTTTGATGAAGGCTCCTTGATTTAGTGGGGGAGAATTTCACACCTGTTACATGTATTTATACACAAAGCTTTCAAACTTGGCAAAAGTATACATCTAAAGTAGAAGGTGTGTCGCGGCCTATTTCGAGGTCACTGTGACCTTTAATTTAAGTGAATTTTAAAAAAATTGAAGTCTTTTAAATTTCAAATTTCATTATCCTAAACAATGTAAAAATATAGTTGTATCCTTATTAAAAAATGTTAAATTAAGTAAAAACATATTTTTTCATCATATACTTTACAGCAATCTGTTACAAATGTCAATGTTTTGAGAGGAATTCAGTTTGTCCCATGGGCATAATAAACAAGCACTGGTCAAGAAGAATTTTGATAGCAGAAATGTGCATGTCAAATTAGAGAGAAATTAATGAGTTTATCGTCAGGAGCTAACTGGTAATCTCTAGATCTGATCATGCAGCTGCTTAATTTATCTCTTGGGAGTTGGGCAAAAAGAAATGGCCTCATTGTTGCTTGTGTTAATTAAGAGTTCTTGATGGCTGTAGTCCAGATAAAGATCATTTAATTAGTGTAATGTAATTAAAACATATTGATGTTTTAGTGTATGATTAAAACTAAATTAGTATTGTATAATATATACATGTGTCCATTGAAAAAAAAAATTTACATTTCAATTTTTATATGCTAGTATTTGGAACAAATTGCAGTCATGTCTCACTTAGAATTTCATAGTCTAAAGAATAATTTATTTTTGATTTTTTTTATTAGACTAGCATTTCCATTATTTCATAAAATATGCAATAAACAATTTAAAGCTGCATGCATATGGATATTTGTTAAGCTCTAACACAGCCAGTAAAAAGGCAGTTTAGAATTATGTGATGTATTATTTGTTATATTTAATCCCTACACTGTGAGTCTCTTAGAGATGTACGTACAATATCTTAAACATGATAAGAATTGGAAATTAAATCATTGAAAGAGTTATATATGATAAGTGTCTCAAATGGCCCCCTAAAATAAATATCTTACTTTTAATTTATATATAGCTTTACTTTACACAGCTATACATGCGACCTTTATTGTTAATTTTCATTGTGACCAAAATGCCGTTAATATAGAAATATGAAATCATAAAGTTCATGTTTCCCCGCAATTTCAGCATATTTTGTATAAAACTGCCTATTTTCAAGCAGTTTTTCTTCCAGAAAATATTGAGCGCAAACTAGAACATACTTTTATTTTCTACCAAAGATGTATCTATTCAATACTAATTACTGACAGAAAAATTATGCATGTTCTACAATGCGCTCTATGTTTCCCATAAGAAAAAACATCAAGAAAAAGAAGTATTTTTGGCTTTTTTGGCAAGATATATAAAAAGGTGTTATTTCCGTCATCATTTAAAGCCAGTGAGTGCATATTAATGTGAAAAATATACCGGAAATATATCTGATATAATCTCTTCTACAAAATAAATATCAATTAAACATATCTGAATGTCATTCTAAAATGCTGATTTTTGCGGGGCCAAAATTGGCTCTTAACATATGTAGTCCTTTGTGTCTATCTGTTAATCAAGGCTAAATGATTTTCTTGCACCCTAACCAATTAATGATTATTATTGAACAATATTTGACGGGCGTATCATGCTGTGGCGGGGCACTAACTTTATTGACAGAGTTATGCCCCTTGGACTTTAAAAAAAATTCCACTTATTTGCAGTTTCACTTCATTTTCTCTGCAGAGGTTGCACATATTGAAATAAATTTTAGTATACAGATTTTTCAGCTGAATTTCTAGGTCAGGTTTTGTGTTGGGTAGGATTGCACCATTGTAGACAGATTTATGCCCTTTTGGACTTGGAAAAAAAATCAAATTTGGAGGCAGGGGGGCATAAGTGTTTTACAAACATCTCTTGTTCTTTGATTATTCTTTATCAAGTATAGTTACGCTATTTAGAGAGAATGAAATAATGTACGATTTACTGATTGTCGTAATTAATTAGCATAATTATTTTTTTTTCAATTATGTAAATCGCACTTCACCCGAGTATACCCGATAGACAGGGCGCATTTCATAGCGGTCCGGATTTTTCTTAAATAGTGTTCTTGAAAATTTCCAAATCAACATGTAACTAAGTATGTAAATATATAGTGTTTAGTAGTTTAGTAGTAGTGCTAGTTGTTTTTTGTTTCTCTTTTTCCTTTGTTCTAATGACTTTTTAACTGTTTTCTTTGTTCTGAGGAAGGGACAGTGCGTCCCGAAAATTTGACAATTTTTATTGTTCGTGTCGTTGGTCATTTTAGTGCTTTATATAAATTTCCATCCGTGACCTTGTATCTACTTGGTAGATCCGACATTTAGGATATACAGTGTTGTTGGTTTTTTAGTGCTTTATATATATATACGTATTTCTTTTCTTTTTTTTTCTTTTTTAGAAATTCCTCTACTTATTACTATTATGCTCATTTTGGAAAAGGTTCAGGGAATGTTTGGTTAAACTACGTTTCCTGTAGAGCAACAGACGTATCGATATTTGATTGTGGACACAATGGCTATGGCATTGGATGTGGTCACTACGGTGATGTTGGAGTGAAATGCAATTAGCTTCTTTAAGACGTAACAGTATAATTGACAGAAAGCTGGTACCATGAATTGGACATGAACTGATAAAGCTATGGCTTGAGACAGTAATGAAATCAATAAACAATTTTGATTTTAAAAAAATAATAATAACTAGAGCAAAGCTCGTTGCAAAGCAACGAGTGGGTCTT